TTTTTTTTTTATTTACTCCTTTCCCTCCTCCCTGCTTTTTTTTTTGGCCTCTAATGGTTATACTGATGTTTTTGCATACATATGATGGACCTAGCTTACAACTTTTCTTTCTTATTCTCTGTTTCTAATATTAACTACTGTTTGTGGCAGTTTTTCTTATACCATGAAGTATCAAGGAGTTTAGTTCTAAGTGTAGAAAAGTGAACTGTGAGTTAAAAACATATATTAGAGTCATATATTTCCAAAGGACAATCAACTTCTGCAGAAAGCTTTAGTGTACGTAGTAGCAATCCTAAACATACAAGTGGTATTAAGATTTTAATTAGTAGATATTATAAGCAGATTCAGTATTAGATTGAGGGATTTAGCATTACTGAATCTATAAGGTCCAACCAAAGACTTGCCAGAACAAATCTCTAATCTTTTCAAGATTTGTTTATCATATAACAATTTATCCCCAGCTGTTTCTGTAACCCTTATCAGGATTACTGTGTGAAGGAAGGGAAAAATAAATTTATCACATGCCCTGCCTTTCACTGTTATTCAATAGTTAGTCATATTGCATATTTTACTCATATTGCAGGTTATATATCCACAGCACTACACAGCTATTATAGTTGCCCACCTTTAAACATGTGAATTAATACATTCTGTTAATTAAAGGGACCTGAGATTTTTGAACCAATGTAGTCTATTTTTTAAAAAGCTTCTGTTTCTTGTTGCCTGTTTGCTCAACAAAATTATCACTATTCCCATTCTAGTACTTTATATAGGATAGACTCTTTAGTGAATGTGATGAATGCTGTGTACTCACTCTGACACTCTATGAATTGATGAATAAAAGTGCAGTCCCCTCCACTCTTTGAAAGAAAGTGCTCTAGTAAAGAAAGAAAAACCTTTAGGTTATATCTCCATCCTTGAGGGCTCATGACAAAACATACAAGCCTCACAGACATGAGGAAAGGGGGAAGGGATTCCTCAAAAAGGCACAAACGAAAAATACCTATGCAATAAGTACAAACAAATTATACCATGTATCAAAGGCTTAAATGAACTGATATGTAATCTGTTTATATCATCAGATTGCTTAAGCTTTATAATTTAATAAATGTCTGCATTGGACAACTGTTCACTCATATGAAATCTGTCAATAGGGCACCTATTTCTGAGGTGAATAAGATTATTAATTTGTTTACTGTTTCTTGTTTGAATATGAAACTTTGTTATAAACATGGTCATTTCACATACTCAAACTGATAGCAAAAATCAGTAGAGATAGAGAAGAGCAAAATAACGAAAAGAAGTAAAGAAAGTCAAATATTTAAAAAATCTTAAGAGGAACTTTAAATAGCTCACTTTACGCTTCCCTTATCCCTAGCCATTAATCACTACTTAAGTATTTGTCCTTTTCTTGAAATATTGGAGACTGTTGCTTATATTTAAATAATTTCATCTATTATTTTTAATTCATCTCTTTAAACCATATTTTTTTCTTAAAATCATATTCCAAATGTCTGAACCTTCCTTGCTATGTGATTTTTTGTATGTAAGGGAGATATTCCTGCTTGAATTTAGTTAAATTTGGTTATGAATATATACAGTCAATGTTGCCATCGCTGCTTATTCTCCAATGTCGATCTCCAATCCTTGTCACCAGAGTTTCACTTTTCCAAAGTTGTGCTCAACTGATTCTTGCTTCTGTCAGCATGTATCTTAATAGATTGTGATAATGTTCTATTTATTCTCTCTGCAATTATTCCTAATAAAAATATTTGTTGTTTCAATTCAGACTTTATTTTAAAAATCTCCTGAATATTTTGGTGTATTCTCTTCTAATACTTTTGGTTGGTTGGTTGGTTGGTTTTTTTTAAACATAACCATGTGTGGTAGAATGTTCCTTCTTTACTAAGGCATTTCCAGCATTCATTATTGTATGATTTGTCCATCTTGTTAATTATTTATGGGGACATATACCATTCATAAAACATTTTATACCAGTTTTCTCTCAAATTGTAGCTTGGAGTACATTTTATTGATATTTTCCATAACTCTTCTCATTGTTCCACTGTAATTCCTTCTTTGAAATTTCACATCCATTTAACATGCAGTTCTTAATCTGTTCTGTGTCTGCATCATATTTCAATAACAATGTATAGATGTATTCCAACAGATTATCTTGTTTCTGTATAAGCATTTTAAACTCATCCCTCTCAAGGTGCTTCCTTCTTTCTTAAGATCATCTTTTTAACCTTTTATGTAGATTGACCATGGTAATTCCTATTTTTATGAATCAATTCCTGCCATGCCTTTAATCTGTCTCCTGAATCTGGATATGCATATTGGCTAATGTGATTACATTTTTCTTACTGTAATTATCCTTGAAATAGAAAGCAGTTGACAGTAATGTTAATGGTGAAATTGCCAGACTTATCTTTACTTTCAGATGGTTCCAAATTTTAGCAGATTTTCTCTTATAATCTGTTTGTTCTATTTTTTATTCTTCTTTTGTTTCTTTATACCATAAATATCTGTGAAATCCATTAGCTCCTCCTAAAATTGATATTCTGCTATTCGTAGATTTTATCCATTCTGTTATCCATGATTAACAACTTGCTCAATAATATAGTTTAAGATTAGGAAAAGCAAATACACCTCTTTCTTTTGAATCTTGTAAAATTTTGAATCTTACTCTAATCTTTCCCCACTCCATAATGAATCTATTAATATCTATTAATTGTTCTTTCCCAATCCTGCAATTTTTTTCTGAAATAAAAAGTTCATTTTAGGTAATATATCCTAGCCAAGAAAGTTTTTCCACCTTTCAAGATCTAATTATTGCTTTCAAATACAACTTTATTTCATCCTATCAAATAAAGTCCAAAATATTTCACTGGATGCTTTCTTATCTCACAGCCAGTTTCTTTTTTTAACAAGTCATCTTCTTCCAAAGTTAGGTACCTTGTTATTATCTTTGTATTGTTTTCAGTCATGCTGTAACCAGAAAAGCAGCCAAAATTTTTAATTATGTTCATCAACTAACTTACAGAGCTTAGCGGTTGCATAATTGTTAATATATAATCTGCATAGCCTCTCATTTTGTATTCCTCTCCCTGAATTTTGATCCCAGTTATTTGCTTGTCTTTTCAGATCTTGTCAGAGCACTTACAATTAATAAAGGAGAAAGAAGACAACCTTGCCTTATGCATGCCTTTACTTATTAAGAAGCTTCCAGAGAGTGTTCCTTTCACTTGATCTTTGCTGTTTGCCACTGATATATGCTCTCCACCAATTTGGGGGGGGGGGATGTTATTTTTATTTAAAACAAAGGTGTATTTTTGAAAAGGTAATATCTATAAATGGACAGATAATTACTGACATTACAATGCTCAATATAACATTAGTAAAAGATAAACCATACCAAGCAATGTACATTGAGTTGTTTTCATGTTATAAAAAAGAAGTATAAATTTCTGAGTTTAATGCCAAAATCTCCACTATACTGCTATTTATAAATGTAAAGAAAAGAAAAACATCCTTAAAAATAATAGACACTATTTAATATCTGACTTCCCTCTTCTTTGTACTCCAACCAATTTGTAGTACCTAACTGCATAAACTTTAGAAACCATACTCTAAGCGTTTGTATTTACCTTTTTTTTTTTTTGTCTGCGCTCAGTCATTGCTGACCCTGCAGTGACTTCTTGGACGAGC